AGGAGGATGGCAGAGGAGGAGGAGGAGGACGAGGAGGAGGAGGACGAGGAAGAGGAGGAGGAGGAGGAGGAGGACGAGGAGGAGGGGGGGGAGGAGGGAGAGGAGGAGGAGGACGTGGAGGAGGAAGAGGAGGAGAAGGAGGATGGGTGAGTCACTGGCGGGGCGGCGCCGCCCGCGCCCGCGGGCCGCCTGGGAAGAGGCCCGCGAGGTGGCCGAAGGATTCGGCCCAGCGCGCGCAGCTCAGGACGACCGCGCACCACTCCTCCCGCGGCCAGCCGCCCCCGCCCCCGTTCTCCGGGCCATCGGCGCGACGAAGCGCGCAGCCCTCGTCGCCGCTGGGGGGAACTCGGAGGCGGCCTCCGTGGAGCTGGCGGCCACGAGCTCCTCGAGCAGGCGGCCAACCCCGCCAGGGGCAGCAGCGGGCGCCGCGGGGCCGAAGGGCCAGGACGCCTCGGCGCCCCACGCCTCGCCGCCGAGCGAACCTCCAGGCGACTCGCGACTGGGGGGCGCCCCGGCGGCGGCGGCGCCGGGCAGCGCGGCGGGCGCCGCGGCCGAGGGCGCTGGGCGCGACGCCGCCGCGCCCGCCCAAGCGTCGTCCTCTAAGTCGCTGCCGCCACCCGCCCCCAGACCACCGCCGACAGCTGCGCCGGCAGCGATGTCGAGCACCATGGGCCCGTCCTACGCTCCGTTCCCTCGGCGGCGCCGAGCGCCCCATCGCCTCGCCCGTGGTCCCTGGCCGCCGGGCGGGGCGTCCGCCGCTGGAGCGCAAGGTGGCGCGCCTGGCCCTCCGCCGCCGTCGTCGCCGTCGCGACATGCAGCCGCGGCGCGGGCGGCTCGAAAGCCTCGGGCATCGCCGCCGCAGCGCGCGCGATGCCCTCCGCGGAGCGCAGCAGGCGAGCCGCCGCCGCGCCCCGCGCCAGGCCAGCAGCGCCATGCGCCGCCAGCGCAGCCCCGCGGGGCGCTGCCAGCGCTGCGCGGCGATCCGTCGCCGCCACCATCGAAAGCCCGCGGCCGGCCAGGGGCCCTGCCGCGAGCTCGACGCGGACGCGGCTAGAAGAAGGAGGAAGAAGAGGAGGCGGAGGAGGAGGGAGGTAAACGCAAAAGATCAACAAACGAACGCCACGTGGAAGACAACGCCGAACATAAGGAAACGCAGGTGGTGGCATGAAGATGTGGATCAACTGCTCCAGAGCGCGTCGAAGACGTGGGCTTGCGGCGAGCCGCGAGGCGTTGCTGCGATGGAAGCTCGGGCCCAAGCGTCGCTGGCGGCGGTCGCCCGCCCGCCGCGCGCGGCGTCGGCGGCCGCGGCGAAAACGGCGCGCGGGCTCGACGCCAGCCAAGCCATTTGACGCCCGCAAGCTAAGCCGCTCAAGTGCAAGAGCTCGCCCAAACGCGCGGCGGCCGGCGGCCGGCGCCAATCGGGCCACGCATGGGCAATGGGCATGACGCACTCAGCTGCCCTGCCCTTGCCGACGCCGAAACAAGCGTGGCGAGGACCCCCCGCCTGCGTCGGCCGCAGTCCAGCCACTGAAAGCAAGGCTTTGAGCGAAGCTGCCCACGCGCTGGGGGGCATGAGCGCGCCGATGAATGCGGAGGCGGCCCGTTCGCCGCGCTCGGTGCCCGGGTGGAACTCGCAGCTGTCAGCGGTCCGGCCGCGCTCGCAAATGCTGGCGAAGCGCGCGGAGGTCACGAACGCGAAAAGCGTCGGCTGCAGCACCGCGGCCAACGCCCCCAGGAACGGGGCCCCCCGCGGGGCCCTGGAGAAGCCGGTCCACGCTGAGGCGCGCAGTCGCCGCTGCGACTTCCAGCTGCCGCCGCGCCCGCAACGCTTTGGAAAAGAAACTGCCAGCAACCCGTTGTCCCGCTTCCATGCGAAGTCGACGCAGCTCCGTCGCGGCACCGGCCACGCGTTTCGCGGGGTTGATTCGGCGCCCACGACATCGCGCTGACATTGGACAATGGTCCACGGAAGAGCGGATATCTTGAGTTCGTTCTTGGCAGGTACGAGCTCGTGCGTTGCCTGAAACTGCACTGGGGTGAGTCCATTGTTGTGCCGCGCTCGCACTTTCCGCGTGACCAGGTTCGCGCGGCGGGGGCGGCTGCGGCCAGATCGCTGGCCGAAGTCGCTTTGGCGGGTCGCGCAAGGGCTTCCTCTTGGGCCCAACCTGGGCACCCCTGGCATGGGACACCGCCTTCGCGAAGATGCACGAGCGGACTCTCGACTGGGGGTTCATCGGATGCGGCGCGCTTGCAGTCGAGGTGGCGCATCGCATGCACATCTTGCCCCTGGCTGCCCCTGCCGCTCGCCAGTAATCGCAAAACCCTCTGCGCGGGATCCGCCCAGCGAGCAAATGATGCCGTAGAGCACCGCAGCGAAGTTCGGGAACCAGGGTGGCCACCCCCGCGACGCGAACACCTGTTGGATGAGAGTCTGGCTGATGCTGGAGAACGCGGAGTCGAAGTCCAGGAGGACGGCGACAGGGAAGTCCTGCGTGAATGCGTTATGGAGCATCGCCTCAACGATGTCCAAAACGTTCGCGAGCATGGAGCGCCCTCGAAGGAAACCGCACTGCTCCTGCGAAGCTCTGGGGGCTAGTTGCGGTCCGATGCGCATGCGGATGGCGCTGCAAAAGACCCGATTGTCCGGCTTCGTGATGCTCAGCGGCCTAATGCCGCGGGGGCGGAGACCTCCGTGCCGTCTGCGCGGATGGATGTGGCCTCTTTTTTTTGGAATGACGACCACGACACTCTCGTGGAAGAACCCCCCATCCTCGCGCACTCGTCGAAACCGTCCGCGGCGACGAGCTCCTTGTAGGCGGCCTCAGAAGCGACAGCGGCGAGGTCCACACCAAGCTTTGAACGGAATGCCGTCAGGGCCAAGGGAGCTGTTCTCGGTGAGCACGGTCGCCTTCCTTGAGGTCTCCACCGGGACAGCGTCATGAGGTAAATGCTCTTGATAGTCCGCAGGCACGTGCCGCGCGTGCTCGCGAAGCCACTAGTCCGTCAAGTGCTGATCGATGCCCTTTTCCTTGAAAGCCTTATCCCACTGCCCGCGCGGAAGACTTAGCATCCCATGCGGGTCGGAGGCGGCTTTTCCCGACGGCGCGTCGATGGCGACTGCCGAAGCTCAGGCTGCGGCGGCCCGGGGCCAACCAGCAGGCCAACTGGTGGTTCCTGCGGCGGCGGCGCGCGACCTGAGCTGGAGCAAAGCCCTCGAGGTCAGAGTGCAGGCTGCTGGGCTCCTGCATCGTGAAGTCGCTCTGCAAGCACACCACGAGCCGCCGGTCGCGGGCGAGACGATGGGCCAGCAGGAAGCGTCAAATCGTGAGGGGTTCTGCGCAGGATTCCGCCGTGGTGGGTACTTTTCCACCCACTGGGAGGCCCGTTTCCGCTGGGTACTTTTCCAACCCTGGTGGGTACTTTTCCAACCCTGGTGGGTACTTTTCCAACCCTGGTGGGTACTTTTCCAACCCTGGTGGGTACTTTTCCAACCCTGGTGGGTACTTTTCCAACCCTGGTGGGTACTTCTCCAACCCTGGTGGGTACTTTTCCAACCCTGGTGGGTACTTCTCCAACCCTGGTGGGTACTTCTCCAACCCTGGTGGGTACTTTTCCAACCCTGGTGGGTACTTCTCCAACCACTGGGTACTTCTCCAACCACTGGGTTGCATGCTTCCGAGGCCCTCAGAAATCTCATCGCGGCACCAACGCGATCCTCGTACTTCATCCGTGGGAGGCAGTCCGCCGAACTCAGGAAGACAGCGCCTGCTCGGCCTGCCGCCTGGCACGTCTGAGCAGCTGCAGCCCGACAGTGCCTGGGCAGCCGCCGTGGTCACAGAAGAGACCACGCGGAGCGGGGGCCACTTGCCGAGGCCAATAGGGTTGATCCAAGACACGGTCACCAATCGGGCGGTCCGTGTCCCCGCTACCCGTCTTCAGGCAGTTCTGGAAGCTGAGCGGGCGATGGCGCAAGCACTGGATGCCAGTTGAAACCGGTGCAAGAGAGTCCAAGTATTCGACGTCGTACTGGTTGGTGTATGCACGATCGATGCGGGAACGAGAGCCAGGGGAGGCATACGCGGGCTCTGGCTGGAACTCATCGTGGAGACCAACTTGGCTTTCGATCGAATTGCGCCAAGAACAATAATCCCTCCCTGGCGAGCGGAGCGCGCAAGGGGCGGCGCTGGAAGCGCCGTTGGATGTCCCAGCGCCGATGAAAGAAATCCACGCGGAACTGTGAGAAATGATGCTATGCAATTGTTTGTTGTTCGGAAGAAGGCTGAAGAGGCCTCCAAGACGGCCCCAAAAAGGAGCCCCACAGTGGAACTCCAACGGACACTTCGAGCTCTGCGCCACACAAAGACCCCCGAGATCACCAGCAGGCCCCGAAGAAGTCCCAAGAAGCCCCGGGAGGAGGCAGAGGAGCAGAGTCGTGGAGTGGCTAACGACTTCAAGCCTTTCACCTCTTAGCGACTTTGCAGGAGCCATTTCTGCTGTCCCTCGACTCGCGCAGGAACTTCCACGATCCCTCCAGATTTACCTTGGTACCTCCGGTTCACTCTCGAGTTACCTGGATGTACGCCAATTTACCTAGATGTACCTCGGTTTGTCTGGGCTGATCCCCGCAGGAGGATTGGAGACTGGCCTCCACGCCCGTTGGGGCAAGACCGCAAACTTCCCGACGTCCACCAGAGCCTCCTCCTGCTGCCTCTCGGCCTTCTCGCAACGATGCGGAGGCAAATTCCTTGAGGGCTTCGTCAGGACGATGACGGGCTATGGAGCAACATGTAGCGGGCACCGAGGCGGAGTAAGCCTGAGATGTAGCCGGATGAAGCGGGTCGAGACTGGACTCGGCGGGACGAAGCAGGCTTAGGTTAGGGCAGACTGAGCAGACTGAAGCTGGATTCGGCCAGTTTTCGACCAGGGATATACCAGCGCCGCTTCCGAACTTGAGCTCCCAAGAGTTGCATCCTTACAAAAGGAGGAGGAGGAGCCATGGCCTCGTGGAGAAGCGGGAAGATGGCGCCCATCCAGAAGGAATAACACGAGTCTACCAGCTTGTTCGTCCTCGCGGAGGAGCCGCGCAACAAGCGGGGACGGGCTCCTCTCCTGCCGCTCGTCCTCTTCCTACTCCACGTCCTTCCTCTCTCTTCGTTATCCTCCGCGACCTCCTCCTCCTCCTCCTCCTCCTCCTCCTCTTCGCCCTCGCTCTCGCAATCTTACCTCCTTCTCCTCTTTTTCATTCCTCCTTTTCCTCCACCACCTTCCATGACCACTAAGAGCAAGCAGAGCTTCCGCCACCAACTGCGCGGGCCGACGGGCTCTGACGGCCAGGGGTGCACGATAATGGCAAGCACAGACGTGCGGACGAGCAGCATGGCGCAGCATTGCTGGCACTGGTCTCGCAGGGCCGCGAAAGCGAGGCCACTTCCGAGCGCCATCAGCCTTGCAGCTAGCTCCAGCCTCTACTCCTTCCTCCTCCTCCTCCTCCTCCTCCTCATCATCATCCTCATCATCAACAACCTGCTGTTCCCCCCTCCTCCCCCTCCTCTCTTCCTGCTCCTCCTCCACAACCTGCCACTCCCTCATCTTCCTCCCGGAGCAGGCAGGGAGCAGGTTGAGCTGCAGAAATGCGGAGTAGCCCGGAGGTGGGTGGTGGTGGAGTGACCACCACCCACCTCCGGGCGACTCCGCATTTCTGCAGCTCAACCTGCTCCCTGCCTGCTCCGTCTCTCCCGTCTCCGCCTACTCAGCGCGCTCGCTCAGCCCACCTCAACACCTCCTCCTCCTCCTCCTCCTCCTCCTCTCCTCCTCCTCCTCCCTCCCCCTTCCTCCTCCTCCTCCTCCTCCTCCTCCTCCTCCTCCTCCTCCTCCTCCTCCTCCTCCTCCTCCTCCTCCTCCTCCCCCTCCCCCTCCTCCTCCTCCCCCTCCTCCTCCTCCTCCTCCTCCCCTCCTCCTCCTCCTCCTCCTCCTCCTCCTCCTCGTCCTCCTCCTCCTCCTCCTCCTCCTTCTCCACCTCAGGCGTCCTCCCCCGTCCCTCCCTGCTCGCTGGGCCCCTCCCCTCCACAAACCCCCGACGTCGTGCCTTTCCCGGCGCCCCGAGGTCTCGACCCCCTCCCGGGGGACCCGCTTCTCCTCCCGAGCCGCTCCCGAGGGCCCCGCGGAGGCCCCGTGGAGGCCCCCGAGAGGCCGAGATCGGCAGAGCACCCTCCGCCGTGCTCTCTCCACGGTGCGAGCACTGGCGGCGCGCAGAGAAGGAGGGGGGAAGACTTCTTAGAGGAGGAGGAGGAGGAGGAGGAGGAGGAGGAGGAGGAGGAGGAGGAGGAGGAGGGGGAGAAGGAGGAGGAGGAGGAGAAGAAGGAGGACGAGCAGTGGGGGGGAGGGGGGGAGACTTCTTAGAAGGAGGCTGCTTCTCAGAAGCCGCGGGCCTTACGTTCACAGACGAGGCCCGCGCCTTCCCTTCTGAGAGGCAGGGGTGCTTCTAAGAGGCCCTCCCCCCTCCCCCCGCCCCCCTCTGCGCGTGGCTGAGAGCATGTGTTGATCTCTGGCACCGATTCCCTCCTGCCTCGTCCTGCTCCCTCCTCCAAGACATCCGACGTTGTGTTTTTTGTTGAGCAGCGTGGCTCGCCCGACAGATTGACCCCTTCCCTCGGGCTCGGCTTCTGTCCCGAGCCGTTTTCTGACGGCCCGTGGGCCTGGCAGGGTTCCCCGCAAGCCGAACAATTGTCAAAACCTGCCGTCGTGATCTCGAACATTGACAGAAGACCATGGCGCATGACGCTCTTCAGTGAAAGCTGCCAGGGGCATTCCACGTGCGCACCTCAACGAATTCCAAGTGGACCCCGGCGGGGTAGCTATGCGACGTCCAAACCGAATGTATCGGGCGAAACGCACGTCGATTAGCGACATCGACTTGGGACTACACCGGGACACGCGAATGCCAACGTAGAATGAAACGGTGCAGATTTCCTGTCGACTTGTCTGGGTGGGCGACCTCTCAATGCCCGATGATCTGTCCACGAAGCGAAGATGTGCCGCCAGGACCTCCGCTGGCCATCGCTCGGACGTCCATTCCCTGTTTTTTGTCGGTTCGTGCGTGGTTGTTTCGCCAAATGATCGAGGATGCTCCTCGATGGTCCTCGCCGAAAGAAAAATGCACACGTCCGAGCGATGCCAAGTCCGTCGTCCCCAAACCTCTCCTAGGGCCCATCCCGATCTGCTTCTGGGGGCGGCTCCGCCAGTGGCGACGAGAAGCCCACCCACATTGGAGGCCCACAGAGGACGACCACCGCCAGGGAGGCGAGTCTCAGCTGCAACACATCGGGAGAAGTCGGATCGGTCCCAAAAGTTAGGGGACCACATGCGAACCCTAACCCTACCCCCACGATTTCTAAGGGGAGGGTGGGGTTCACCTCGCTCGGGGGCTCCCGAACAAAGTGACCCCCCCCTCCCCCTCAGAAATCGTGGGGGGCAGGGGCAGGGTTCGCATGTGGCACCCCCTCCGTCGCTCTCCGCGCTGGCCCTCGCCTGGAGCCGCCCTCGTGGGTCGACGTCGCCCCGGCCCGGAGCGAAGGTCGCCCACCCCCCGGACCGATTCTGAGGACGTGAGGGTCGACCAACCAACACTTTTTTGATCCTCGGGTCGAGAGCGAGCCTCTTCCGGTCGAAGCTAAGCGGGCCGCGCACAGCTTTAATTAACAGAGGAAGGACAATACAAGGAAGGGCCTCACGTCAAGGCCAAGAGAGGGCAAAGCCCCGGGATCAGGCGGTGCCGAAAGCGAAGGGCCCCCGTCGACCAACCAACACCTGACCCCGATATGAGGCCGGCACGATCGCCGCGGCGACCTTCGAAACCGACCGGGAGGCTTGATTCGGGGTCGGATAGCACGCAGCGGTACTCCGAAGCGCGTTCTGGCCAGAATCACATCACCACCCTGGGCCTGAGTGGTTTAGCGAGTTCCCTCTTCCATCTTCCCTCTTCCCCTTGAGGGATGGGTTTGCTCCTCCCCCTGCCCCTTCCCCCTGGACCTGGAGGGAAAAGGGCTGCTAGGGGTTAGAGCGTCCAAAACGGCCTCGGCGAGAAATCACGCAATACATTCCTTGCTCGACTAAGGCTTCGGCCACATGTTGGCCTCCTGGGGGCAGCGCTAATTTACTACGGCCCCTCCTTTGATCGAACTCCTCCAAGATGGCCCGAATTGGCCCCCGAGGGTGCCCAAGACGGCCCCAAGAGGTGCCCAGGAGGCCCCACGAGACCCCCAAGAGACCCCCAAGAGGCCCCCCAGAGGCACAAAAGATGCCCCAAGAGGCCTTAGCGAGAAGGCCAGCATCACTGATGTCACTAACGAGGTCTTGGGCACTTTTTGGCCTCCTGGAGGGGGATGCTAATGTTTCCTTTTCCGGTTCCCCTTCTTCCCCTTCTTCCCCCTCGTGGAAGGGTTTACCCCTTCTCCTACCCCCTCCCCGTGGACCTGGAGGGGCGGGGTTTCGAGGGGCTAGAGCGCCCCAAAACGGCCTCGGCGAGAAGGCACAAGCTTATAATTGTGCTACGGCTTTGGTCATATGTTGGCCTTCTGGGAGGGGGGGGGGGCGGCGCTAATCTACTACGGCCCCTCCTTTGATCGCACTCCTCCAAGATGGCCTCAAGGTGGCCCCCGACGCTCCCAGGAGGCACCAAGACGACCCCAAGAGGCGCCCAGGAGGCCCTAAGAGGCCTCCAAGACGCCACCACGATGCCTCCAAGAGATCCCTAAGAGGCTCCCAAGTGACCCCGAAGAGGCCCCCAACAGGCCCGAAGAGGCACCCCCTAAACACGCAAGACGCGCTAAGATGCCCCACGGACCGTCACGAGGCCCCCAAGACGTCCCAAGAGGCCTACAAACAGCTCCCAACAGACATCCGAAGATAATCCAAGAGACATCCAGGATGCATCAGGCCTTTCTGCTCGCCCTCCTCCTCCTCCTCCTCCTCCTCCTCCACCTCATTCTCCTCCTCCGCCACCTCTTCCTCCCTTCTCCTACTTTTCTCATCGGCCCGATCCTCTTCCATCTTTCCTCCCCCCCTCCCCCCTCCTCCCCCTCCCCTTTCTCCTCCTTCTTCTCCTCTTCGCCCTCATCTGACTAATCCTACTCCCTCCTCCCTCCTCCCTCCTCCCACTCCCCTTTCTCCTCCTCCCCCTCCTCCTTCTCTTCCTCCTTCTCTTCCTCCTCCGCATCCTCCTCCTCGTCATCGTCCTCCTCCTCCGCCTCCTCTTCGTCCTCCTCTGGCTCTTCCTCTATCATCCCCTCTTTGGGGCATGACGGGTCCTCAGCCTTGATTCTACTGCGTGCCCCCCCCCACCACATGCCTGATCAGGGCAACTCGCCTGGGCATCGTTTCTGGGTGGGCTGGCGGGGCTACGCGAGGCGTCTAGAACTTCAACGCGGATCCTGCCGTGGCGACGAGGACCCCCTTGGAGGCCCAAACAACATGAAAACGAGCCAGGTTTGAACCTCGAACCGTCGAACCTCTTTCATGCAAAACGCCCTCCCGCCCCCCGCGCGGCTCCTCCCCTGGAAGCCGCCCTCGACCGCCATCTGGCGGGCCACGGACCACCGGAGGAAGGCGCGCAGGTCCAGCGCGCTCGCCTCGTCGGAACGGAAGGAGGGGGCGGGCCGGAGCACCCCCGAGGCAGATCCTGGTACCTTTGCGCCTCGCAGTGTGCGAGAAGCGGGCGCACGCTGACATGGAAAGTGGTGACCCATGGATCTCGCGCGAAGGGCGCCAGCTCCGCGCGTCGGGGAGACGCCTCCCCCCCCCCGAGACGTGGGGCCAACGCCCCCCCCCCCTCCGTCTTGAGCGGGCAGATGTTGCCCAGAACGCGGATGCCTTCGCGAATCCACGCGCATCGGTCGCTTGCTGCGCCTCCCCGAAACATGCGAAACATACGAAGGATCTCGCGCCCTCGCGCAGCCCCCCTCCGGACAGCCGGACGGGCGCCACCTCCGCAGAGCGGCCCCGCCAAAGGGGACGGGTGCACAGCGCGCAGATCGCTCCGTACGACATCGGCGCGAATCTGGCTTCGAGTTCATGCTATCGGCACGTTCCGGAATTCCTTGCTTGCGCCAAAAAGGGGCCCAAGACTGGCCAAGGGGCCCCCAAGAGCTCGCCCGGACGGTGCAGGAGGGCCCCGGAATCGCCGCGCGATCGGTCCAAGATGCCCAAAATGGATGACCCCAAGACGGCCCACGGAACCTTCGAGGCGCCCCAAGACAACGCAAACATCCTTCCCAAAAAAGCCCTGAGAGGCCATCCTCAAGTGTTTCCGTGTCTTTGGGGTCCTCGACTTTTCGAACATCCGACGCTCCAAGACGACCCGAGAGGCCCCGAGGACCTGCCCAAGACGGCCCAAGAGGCCCCCAAGGGAGCCCCCAGACGGCCCAAGAGGGCTCCCAGGCGGTCCCAGAGGCGCACAAGGCAGCCCCAGAGGGCCCAAAGGCAGCCCCAACAATGGCCCAAGAGGGGGAAAACAAACCGAAAACGAGAGTCTTCAGCCACAAGGGGCCCCTCCCCGAGGAGCCCCCAGGACGCCCCAGGAGGCCCCCAAACGGCCCCCACGAGGCCTCACCCCGACCCCCGAGAAGCCTCCCGCGACATTCCATCGAACATCCTGGAGGCCCGTGAGCAACAGCCCAGACACGGTGGCGGAATGGACCGAAGACCATTCTACACATATGCCTATATATATATATATATATAGACATAAGGAGGGGGAGAAAGAGAGAGAGAGAGAGCTGTTCCTGATCAGCAGCCAAGACCAAGGGGGCTTCACTGAATCACCTGATGTTCCCCGCCCCTGGCGTCAGCGCGCTAGGTGCGGCGCAGGAGACGCGTCTGGAGAGGCGGGGTAGCGGGGGCGAGCCGACCCAAGAAACCAGCGCGGACCTCCAGAAGCTTTTGCTGATGCAGATGTTCTCTTCTCGGGGGGGGGCGAAAGGGTCGGATAGCAAAGGACATGGTAGAGAATCAGCTCACGTAGCTGCTTTTCCTGGCGCCTCCTGGCGCCAGGAAGCGCTCGTCCATCGAGGAATAGGCCGGCGGCGGGGCCGAACCAGCTGCATGCAGCAGATGTCGTAACCCCTCCCCTTTATTGGCAGCGCGCATCAGGGGGGAATGGGAGAGGGGAAGGCTTCTTTGCAGGAGGCTGCGTCTTATAAGGCGCCAGCCCTACACCTAGAAGGGCAGGCCAGCGCCTTATGAGAAGCGAAGGTGCGTCTAAGAAGCCCTCCCCCCTGCCCCCATTCCCCTCTGCGCGCGCCTGACTTGAATGATCCTACCCGTTCGTCTGGTCCGACCTTCTGGGAGGCACCACCCCCCTCAAGGTCCCGCTGACAGGGTCCCACACGGTCCGGGACTGCTGGCACGTCCGCTGAGAACCTGCAGCCGCGGCTGGAATCATGTTGCTCCCATCGTACTGAAGGACCACACCCCCAGAAAGAAGTTCGAGCACCAAGTCTCGAAACAATGTCGACCGAATATCGCCTCCCAGGGCCCGACACGTGAAAGCCCTCAAGTTTGGATACGTTCGTGGTGCTCGAAAGTCTGTCTGGGGATCAAGGTCCTGGCTACGAGGGCCTTGACCCGAGGGGGAACGATAGGGGGTCCTGGCTCAGGCTGCGGGGGAGGGAACATTGACCTGCCATGATCGGCGATACGGCGCCGATGGACTGGTGATCCCTGCACCCCTCTATCTTCCACACCTTCCGGCCTCTGCGAAAGACGCGGACGGTGATGCATTGCAACTATTCAAATCCTCGGGGAACGCAAGAACACTCAGCGTTCCACGAAGCGCAGGAGTGTGGAAGGCCAGCACGGAAGGCCTGGAAGAATGAGGGCGAGGGACAAGCCCCACACAGCGGAACGGCACCGTCCTGGGCGGAACCACATCAGGCCCCTACTGTATACCAGCGATCAACGGGCGATATGGGGTCGACGCGTTCCTCCCCCCCCTCCCCTCTGAGTGGAGGGGAAGAAGGAGGATGATGATCATGATGAGGAGGAGGAGGAGGAGGAGGAGGAGGAGGAGGAGGAGGAGGAGGAGGTGCAGGAGAAAGAGCAGGAGGAGGAGGTGGAGGAGGAAGAGGAGGAGCTACCCCCCCCCCCCTGGCTTTACGGCCACCGCTCGGCTCACCGGCGGCCGTCCGGGACGATCAGGACACACCCTGGACGGACGCCCTCGGCGACGCGCAGCTGCCAGCAGGCACCCCGAGGCCGGGACACCGCCGAGATCCGGTGCAGGCGTCAGGAGCCGCGCACCCCGCACGCCCGAGAACCTCGAACCCATCCCCCTGAGCTTATCCCCTGCAGGCCTCTCCTGGGGTGCGTCCCGACCAGAATGTCGAAGCGGATGAGGATCCAGCCGTGGCCGCGAGGGCGACCCAGGGCGCTCGGAAACGGCCAGACAGCGCACCTCGAGCCCCGGACGCCCGACGGGCCTCGACCGCCCGAGCCTCTCCCCCCCTTGAACCGTGCCGTCTGACATTGTTCGGGTAGGAGATCGACTGCAGAATTCTTTACCGCAGAATTTTGTTCCTCGTCGAGTGTTCGTAGATCCACTGGCATTGTAGGTCCTTTGTTGTAGACTCGGCGAGAATTCCAAGTCTGGGGCACCTCATTTGTGCAGTCGATCTCCTATTCGAGCTGCACCCCCCCTGACGAGCCTATCCCCCCCAACGTTGCCCCCTGGAGGGCCCCCGGCTGCCGCGCAGGCGCACCCCGCCTTGCCGATGATGCACAGCGTGGCGAGCCCGCAGTACCTGCGTGAGCCGCGGGGGGAACGGGCGCGGCCCAGGGCGGAGAGCGGGCGAGCGCCTCCGAACCTCGGCGGTTGCAGGCTGCAGCCGCCGAGGTTCGGAGGGCATCGCTGCAGCTTGCAGCGGGGGCCAGGCCCTTACCCGCGGGGGGGGGGGGAAGGAAGAGCCCGTGCTCTCCAGTCGGACCTACGCCAGAAGAACATCCCTCGAGAAAATGAGACCCTCCGCTGGCCAAAGCAACAGATAATCCACAGGTGCCCTCCCCAGGATGCGCAAAACCATCCAACAACAACGAAGAACACGAGGGTTCACCCCCCCCGATCACGCCAGTGACCTGCCCCGCCTCCCTCCTCCCCTGACCCTCCACATTGCCAGAAAGTAGCACACCAGATCTATAAACCTGTTTGGACCGTCTCAAACCTCGGCCTCGGCAGGAATTCAAAACTCGACGTCTTGGTGTTGCTGCTTGGCCCTCATGGAAGGTCAAGGTCCTCCCCGCGCCCCCTGGTCACGTCACGATTTTCGCCGGCGCGGTCCGGGAATGAACTGCCCTTAGGCGTCCCCGGACGGCGCGAACACCAATCGTGACATGACTGACCTCCCCTCTCGGCCACGCCCGTTATCGCCAGGGGTTAAAATTAAGCGGGCGTGTCCCCCCACAGGGGGATTTTCGACGAAAAATAAAACATACCCCACAAATGCGCCAAAAAGATAAAACAATGCTCCAAAAATAATACCCAGACTATTTTTGGACTACTTTTCATTTTTCGTCGAAAACCCCCCTGTAAGGGGACAGGCCCGACGTAAGGTTAAAACAAACTGTGTCTCACAGTAACGAGTGGGCGGGTCTCCGAGGACCCATGCGGGGTGGGTGGGGCGACATGTGCGCCAACATGTGCGCGAGCACCAACACGTGCGGGGGGCCCAGGCCCCCGCATTCGCACGATCGCTACGATCGCTACTCCTACCCAGGGGGGGATGTCCCCGGCAGCGACAGTTGCGCGCCAGAGTGTAACACACAGCCTCATCGTTACATTGACATTCGGGGGAACTTGCCGAGTTCGTATGGCATACATATCGGGCTCGTCGAATCCGCGTCGAATCCACGTTGAAGCCGCGTTGAACCCAAGAGCCCGCGACGAGTCCGCATTGATCCCTCGTCGGGCACAGAGACAAACCCCAATTTCGGGGCGTCCTTTCTGAAGGGGCTGCGCGCTAGGGAAAAGGGATCCGGCGGGGCCGCGAGTCTCGGTTCGTCTTCCTCGTTCGCTCCTCGTGCGTTTTGCTGGATTCGGCTCGCGCGCAGGCGTCCTGTTCCGAGGGTCGGGGTCTAGCATTGGACAACGCCAGAAACCATACGAGCCTTTTTTTGGTAACGCTCGTTTCTCAGACTCGGAATGGTGAGATCAGCTGCTGCGCGCCGTGTCTACAGCTTCGAGTGGCGTGGCGGTCCCTGCCATCACACATCGCCTGGCGCGCGCTTCGCCAATGCCTCTGTGGAGGCGCCTCCCCTGGGAACTTGACTAGGGGAACAACAAAAATGGCATAAGCATAAAAACTCGGAGGTCCGAGCGGACCTCCGAGTTTTTATGTTTATGCCACTTTTTGGTCCCCTATTGAAGACCCAGCCTCCTCGGGGCTGCGCCTGGCCAATGTTCCTGGTGACCGTTCCTGGGTCACCGCGGACCTGGCCGGGCCGGCCTGCAACCCCATGGCGCACCCCGCAAGAGGCATACGCTGCCAGCACGGATGACCCCACCTTGGGCCTAGAGGTAAAACAGTTCCTTCCCGACTCCATTCCCCAGCCCCGGGGACAACGAGTAAGCAGGAGGCGTCCTCTCTTACTATTCTGGCCGGACTTCCGCACAATTGCCGGAAACCTGAGCAAAACCATCGTTTTATACGAATGTATCGCATGGCGCCGCCTGGCCGGAAACCGAAACAATCCCCGTACAAAAACAGAAAATCGCTGCTCGCGTGCTGGTGACGCCCTTGTCGCTGTTGCTCCTGCAGATATGTGCGGAATGCAGCGACACCGGCGACACCTGCGCGCGGACGGCGAATTGTTCGGCGCGCGGAAACGGATTATTCCACGTGGACCCGATGAAGTACGAAAGCTGGCTGCGTGATCCAGATGGCCCATTTCACCAGCATGGGCTGCATAGTATGCGGGGGCCGCCGGGCCGTGCTGAAAACCACCCCCCGTTGCAACTCGGCCCCGCGCCGACTAGCCGAGCAGCCCGGGGAGTACAGACCCGACCAGACAAACCAACCAACCAACCATCCAACCAACTAACCAACTGACCGGATCCCCATGTGCGCTTATATTTTCTGGGCGCGTCCCGCTGTGAGTGTTTGAGTTGAAGCGTATTAGCCTGTGGCGACTGAGCGTTCTCTAACGGCTACCTTTTGGGGTGCCCAGGTGACACGTCTGCTACACCGCGATGATCAGAGAATTCCCAAACAGAAGGGTCCACGGGTGCTAGAAACCAGTGTTTCTCTTCATGCGTCCCACAATCAAATTGGGAACGGGCAGATGTAACGCCCCATGGCGGCTCCTTCCACTAGCGTGCTCCATTGCTCCGTATCCTATATATACACATATACATACAAACGAACAAACATGTTTACATACATCCAAACATATACATATACTTTTGTGGAATGAGCGTGTTCAGCCTCGTGCGCCCTGCACCTCGCCCTACGGTCTCGGCGGCATAATGCGGCATTATGTTGGTGGCGGTCTAACCTAGATTGCTGCTTTACGTGCCGTACCTCGTCGGCCCACGTGGGTGGCCTCGCTGTGCGCTCTCTTCACTAGCCCCGTTTAGCCCGACCGCTGGTCCAGCAGTTATGCCTCGCCGCCAACGAAGAAATGTCCAATCTCAGTGCTTCTGATTATGAATGTGGGTGGGTCTGAGTGCGAGCGGGTTTGAGCGCGCTTGTGTCCGAACGTGGGTGGTAAGTCGGAGTTTGCATATGTCTGGGTATCCATGGGCCTGGACGAACGTGATCTGAACGCGGGCAGTACGAATACGAACGAATCTGCACCTGAATGACCCGTTTGTGAATGTCTTGTGCGCATGAGCCTGAATATGCATAAGCTCAGTCCGCGTCGAACTGACCGTGGGCAAGGGGAAGCCAGCGGCTTCTGGGCGCGAGCGGGCCAGTGCCCACCTCACTGGCCGTGGATGAGGCGTCTGATTGCAGAGCCTGCCATATCGCGGTGGCCATGTGACCCCCCCGCAAGAAGCGACTCCTATCCGCAAAACGAGCAACCCGCCGAACACATCTCAGCAACATATTCCCGCGAGGGGGCAAACATCATACATCCTGCCGGTTTGTCCTCGAAGTGATCTGGTGCTACGCCTGCTACATCGTGGCGGTCATGCTGCCGTTCAACCAGAAATAGATCTGACCCAAGAAAACGTGCACACCGCTTGAGACATCCACCACAATGCGGTGGCGAACAGGCACGGCCCTTTTCGGGATGATTAAATGCCACGCCAACCTTGTCGCGGCGACCATGCGGCCCTCAAGAGAGAAGCGTCTGTCCCGCACAACGGGCAAGCCGCCACAATCTGGGCGCGAACGGGCAGGTGTGTTGCTCCCTGGTGGCTCCTTCTCGGGGTGCCCAAGTGGGGCCCTGGCTATCACTCGCTGGCCATGCGTCTTTTAAGATATCGTTGTTCGTCTTGCCGAACAAAGAAGCAACCTGAAACATCCTTACAAATATATTGCAAACGGTCACGTGTCCGATCCCCTGGCGGTTGTTCGTCGGGGCGCCCGAGTGCTACGCATTCGCGCGTCTGTCAAAACATAGGTGCGTGTGTGTGTGTGTGTGTGTGTGCGTGTGCGTGTGTGTGTGTGTGTGTGTGTGTGCGTTTGTGTGTGTGTGCGTTTGTGTGTGTGTTCCACCAAACGACCACTCCCAGGCGGCACCTCTTTGGGGTACCGCACTGTTACGTCTGCTACATCTCGGTGAGCGAGCCTACTGCCGCGCATGAGTGCATCAAGGTACGATTTGTCAAAATAAGGCTTACTGCGGGGGCGAGTGAACCTGAACGACTACATGCGAGAATAATATGAGTGAGCCTACGTCGGGTGTGAGCGGGTCAGAATGTCAGAGGGTTTGCTTGCGAGTGCGTCAGGGTGTCAATGGACCTGCCGCGCGTATGACATGCGCGCGAGGACGTCGAGGGGCGAGGGGGCGAGAGGGCGAGATGCGGATGTCTCAAACAAACAACTGGTCACACGAGTCACGCTGCGAGGAAAGAGGCGCGCGTCCTGCAATTCTGAAAAAAAAACTACGCTGAGCGGAAAGGGCGCGATTGCAACGCTAACGGCTGGGGCTGAAGAGGGCAGCGCGGGGAACAAACAAGGAGGGCGAGCGAAACCCGATCAACCAACAAATCCGCCACGCAGCCAACACATCCAAACAACGAACCCAACCAAACAGCCAAAAGTTACGGCACTGCCGCTTGAGACTTCTTCGCAGCGCGGGCGCCATGACAGAAGAGGGGCGCACAGACTGGCAGGGCTAATGAAGGGAAGGGCGGGGACGAAAAGAATCGGGAAAACGAGGAACAACTGAAAGCATCGGCCCCGCAAGGCAGGGGCGCTATGCATGAGGAACCCACAAAGGACGTACGCGCCCAACTATGTACATGAACACGGCCCCTTGACCCGCGAGACTGGCCGTGTGATACGATCAATCGCGCAATGCGAACTCTCGAAACCAGCGTGGATTCATGTACGTGTACGTCCTTCTTTCGCTCCTGAATGCAAGGCCTCCCCGCCCCCTTCGGCCGCCGGAGCCTGGATCGAAGGGGCGAGGAGGGAAAGACGGAGCGCCGTCCAACGCCAGGGCGCAGTTACGACAGCAGCGGCCGGGGCTGAAGGAAGCGGCGCAGCGGCGCGGGGAACTCGCCATCGCTCGGACGTCCATTCCCTGTGCTTTTTTCGGTTTCGTGCGTGGTTTTTTCGCCAAATGATCAAGGATG